TCATGCTTGGGAAAGTCGAGTCGCAGCTAGAACTGACACAGTGGCTGCAGCAACGGGCTCAAGCATGGGGCGATCGCGAGGATGGCCCAGGACCAGGCAGTGCTTCATTCTGCCGTGCACGGCTCACTTTGAGTCAGCACCAACTCGATGGCACCTACGAGCAACACACCTGGGAGGGGGAAGCGATTGCTGCTTTTTAACTTTATAGACACTGTGGGTTTTGTAATGTGCTTCCACTCAGGGGTCTGATGACAAATCCTTCCATTCCCCGCTTTTGTTTTCTCTGTGCTGCACAGGACAAAACCTCTTTTCTTCACTACTGTCACTGGGAGGTAACATTCCCGTAGGCCACCTGGGAACTTCTCTAATCTCCAATCATGTGCTTGTCTCACTCATGTCCCTCTCCACCATGTTAGTCCTGCCTTCAACAGTAATGAATTCCGCTACCACCAAACTTGATTTGGGGGCCCTCCCTTTAATCTCCCTGCTTCCATAATGGGACACCATTATGGCCTTGTGCTGATGGTCATGCTGATGGCTCTTTGTCTCATTTTGCCCTGTTTAACATTTAATAAACAGTTCTCTGTGGGGGAAACCGGGCCCCCACAACTAATCATGCATTCAGTAGGCATAATTGTACGGTTCGATATATAAAAATTATAGTAAAGTCATAGAGAAATCAAGATGGGAGAGAGAGTAAAATAAAGAAGTCAGACATTTCATGGTAGCAAGCTTACCGCAGCTCCTTTGGTGGTCCACATGGAGGTGGGAGATGAGCAGGCAGGAGAAAGAACATGAGGTTTTATTTCTAACCAAAGCTTATATATCTTTGGGGTCATGCAAGCCCTCTGATTACAGATAACGATCTAGTCAGAGGAAGGGGTTGTAACCTAGGCAATATAAGCAATAGGAGGCGGATGACCTAGAGGTGTACACGCAATAGTAAATGGAGGGAATAGGGGAATGTATTGGCAAGGTAGGTGGAGCCTAGACTCAATATAGTAGCCTAACCTTAGTCATCCTTGAGTGGTCCCGGGCTTACTTTCGGGCACTCCTTCAAGGGAACAATATCAGAAGGGAATGGGCCCTATTTAGGGTGAGTCAGACTACACAGTCTGGTTGCTCTAGATGATACTCTCAGTAGAATAACCTCTGACCTACTTTTGTTGACCTGCTGGTGTATAGTCATTTACCATGTGTAGCAAGCGGCATCTTGGGTTTGGCATCTATTTGGGGGAGACAACTTGGAAGAAATCTTTCTGTATCCCACAGTTCTCTATAAAATATATTTGAATTTGGGATCGTTCCCCCCTAGAACAGAAGGTAGACACAATTTCAGACTTACAAAGTTTAAAGGGTTGGTCCTGGGGCTTTGACCACGTGGCTATGTAGTGATTGGGATGTGATGCATGATGATGTGACCCAGCACCCTAGGCAACAGTAAGCTGGGGATTTAGATTTAGATGACATGCACCTGTTAGCCTTTCAACTCATGGTTAGGCGAGTTCCCCGAGAGCAAGATGCGTCTCTGGGCTGGCTGGGAGTAAACCCTAAACTACTTTCAAGCAATAGGAAGGCTGAGAGTACAGCTGCCACAGTGCTGGTTAATGGTCAGAAAGAACGCAAATGGAGTCTCAGCTTACATTGAGACTCAAATGAAGTGAGGGCTCCCAGTGTACACTGCTCAAGCATTGCCAGGAAGAGGATGTGGATTCTTAGTAAACCTATATGAGATTTCCAAGGATATAAATCTTTTTTTTCTTTTCAAATCACATTTTATTACATTTCATTGGCATTATCCCTACAGCAGAAGAATAGTAGGAACTGTGTGTGGGAAACAGAAAGATTTCTCCCAAGTAGTCTCCCCCAAATACACGCCAAACCTAGCTGCTTGCTACACAAGGTGAATGACTATACACTTGGAGGTCAACAGAAGTAGGTCAAGGATTATTCTCCCTAAGGGTTATCAGCCATCAAGAGCAAGCAGACACCATTGTTTATCCCACAACAAGTAGGGCCCACTCTCTTCTGATAAGGATAGTAGTAGATTGTTTACCTGTAGGAAAACCCAGGGAGGTCAAGCCCACTCAAAGGTGACCAAGGTTAAGCCACCATCATGAATCTAGGGTCCGCCCTTCTTGTCACATGTATACACCTAGTCCCTCCCCTACCTATCATGTGTACACCCCTAGCTCATCCCCTTCCTGTTGTGCTTATGTCCATTGTATATCGCTCTCCTATTGCTTGTATCACCTATTGTACAGCCCCTTCCTGTGACATATGTCTTTACCTGTAATTAGAAGGCATGCACCCCCGCTCTCCAAAGAGATATAAGCCTTGGTTAGCAATAAATCTGCCATCTCCTCTGCTCTCTCCTGCCCTGTACCTCCAAGAGGAACTGAGGTGAGCATGTGACCATGAAATGTGTCTGACTCCATTATTTCAATCTCTCTTCTATCTCTCCTTCTCTATGACTTTCCTATACTATTGGCTTATTATCACTGTACAATTGTGATGATTTGTGAGGGGCTGGGTACCCTGACAACTGTGGATATTAATTCTCTGATGATTCAATGCCATTTTCTTTCTTTTTAACAGGTTTATTGGCACTGCATCCATATACACAATTCAATCAATTATATCAAGAAGAATTGTATAATCATCACCACAGTCAATTTTAGAGCATTTTCTTCGGATAGAAATCTTTACAGTTTTCTCCTGAGAAGTGGCTAGTGGGTGTGAACAGTCAGCCTTTGGTGAGTAGTCCTATGACAAACTGACACTCTACCAGGGCACCTTCACCGAACACAAATCAAATGCTTTGGAATGTATGCTTGGCTCCTGAAAGTACAGGTCCGGGGTTGGAACTCACCAGCCACTCTAGCAGAGAAAAACATGGAATCTACTTCCCGAAAGATTAACCCACTGCCATTCAGTGTATTTGGACGGCTGTCACGCTTTATAAGGTTTTCGAGGCTGTAAATCTTTGAGGGAGCGGATACCCTCATCTTCCTCCAGCAGCGTCACTGTGGTTTTGAACAGCCAAGCTTGTGATTAACAGTCCACAGCTTACCCTTGTGCCACCAGGCCTCAAAGTGTTCGGAAACAGTCTACCCTGACCTATAGGGTTGCTTTGAGTTTAAATAGAAATCGCTGCCAAAGTTAATCTAATAGTGGACTTTTTACTTCTCAGCTCAAATTGTAGTCTTCTCTGTTCTGCATTGTTCAATATTTTTCCCACAGAATTTTCAATATTGCAACTTGAGGCTGGAATTTTTCTTTAGTTCTTTCCGTTTAAGTTATTGACAACTTCCACTATTCAGTTGATACAACCTTGCTTGCTGAAAGTGGGAGACTTGAAACACTTGCTAATGAAGATCAAGCATTGTAGCCTTCAGTCTGAATTCCAACTCCATGTAAAGAAAAGCAAATTCCTCCCAATTGGTCCAATTGATAACATTGTGATAAATGGAGAAGAGATCGAAATTGTCAAAGATTTAATCTTTTTCTAAACAGCTTAATTGGCACATAATTCATATGTCATACCATTCAATAGTTCAATCACATCAAGAAGAGCTGTACAGTCATCACCAGTCAGTTTCAGAACGTCGTCTTCTTTCTTGTAGACACGGTATTCGCACCCCGTTTCCCCCAACCTCCTCGCCATACCCCCAAGGAACCATTACTTCAGTTACTCTCTCTATAGATTTACCCATCCTGGATTTCATATACAGAAAAATGCTTTAAAAAAATAAACCTAAAAACAAAGTAAAACAGATAAAACCTCAATTTTAAAAAAGCAGAAAATGGTTTAAAACTGGAATAAATTTAAAATAGATCATAAGGGAGATCAAATGCTAAATTTTAACCTAAACTGAATCTGTAATAATCCAATTTTCTTTTTTTTTTTTTTAATAATCCAATTTTCAATGCACTTTGCATGACAGCATAGCTACTCACATCCCTGGTCCATGGTCAGAGAGCATTCACCAGAGGCTTAATCCACATGTATTTCCCCTTCAGTTTCCCCCCCCCAAACTGAAACAATCTTAACATGGGTGAAAAAGGAGATCAAACAATAAGATAATACATTTTTAACCTAACTATGTTTCCCATAATCGACTTTACAATGCTGTCTGACAACAAAGTTATTCACATCCCTAAACTGATCAGAGGCTATTCACTGGCGGCTTAATCCACTGTGTGGACACTGCAAATGGATTTGGGGCTTCCACTATGGTCCATAGCCACCTGCAAGCCAGCTGTTCACACTTTAAATTCTGAAGCCATTCCCTCCTTTGGATTTGGATTATATTGTTTACAATCCTTTGAGGTACCAGCTGGTGTGCTTCTTCCATGTGGATTTAGTTGAAGGATTTCATCTTGCTTGGATCCACAATCAGTGATCATGGAAGCAAGGAGTCCAGAGAGGAAACGACACATTGCAGTGAGTAAATCGGCCACACGAAACCAAAAAATCACTTTTATTGAGTCAGTTCTGACTCGGCGATTTTTTAACATTGCCAAGATCTCAGGGCTGCAGGTGGATGGAGGGCCGAATCTTCAACGAAGTGCCCCTTTTAAGGTTAGCCGGGTAGCCACTGAGAACTTCATAAACTTCCCCTACTCTGGAAGTAGGGAATTCTTGCATCAGGGGAATGTTCCTTTACTTTGCAAATGGTTGATTAAAACACGGAGCAATCAGATATTGAATTATTGTTTCCAGTTAACAGATGACTATATTTAACAGTACGATTTTGGAACCACAAACAACGTGCGGAAGTGGGCGAGGGCGTGGAACGCGACCAGCGATCGGGCACAAAGGGATCCCCGGGGATCCCTGGCCGGCGGAGCCGCGGCCGGATGGAGGCAGGACTACGTTTCCCAGGATCTGGCCGAGCCCACGCGCTCTCGCGCGGCTTCGCTCGGCGCACGCGCCGGCTTCCCAGAAGCCCCGGGCAGCGCGGGCATGCTCAGTGTGGTCCCAGCCGCCCGGCGCTGGGACGCCCGGCGCGATCGCTGTCCAGACGCTGCGGGCACTTTGGTCTGGCCCGAGTTGGGGTCGCGGCGGCGGCCACAGAGCTGACGGGTAGGCGCGCGGGCTTGCGGGGCGAGCGTCGGGGCCGCCGCACAGCGACCGAGGCAGCAAGCCCCCAAGGCGATCAAGGCTGGCAGCAGGCCCCGAACCGGGATTGTGGAGGTTCTGTGTAGGGGCTGCGCGAGGGAACCCAGGCGGGGAGGGCTCGGAGGAGACGCGAGGCCGAGCGCCTGGTGCTAAGCGGCTCTCTTTAGCTCTGCAGGTGACTGGAGGTGGACTGAGCCACACTGTCACCTGGTTCCCAGCGGCGGCTGGTGGCGGGAGACTTCGGTTTTCAGCCGCAGTTGCCTGTGGCCAGGGAACCGAACCAGCTCCGGGAGCCCGGTTCACCTTTTCTGCTTCTCGAATGGGAGATGCTTCCTGCGGTGGGGCTTAGTGCTTGGGAGCTAACGTGCTGGGCTATGTCAACAAAGCTCGACTGAATTCCATGGCGTGGCGTGTTTCAGCGGCTTCCAGGCTGGGGTGCTCGTGTTGAACGACCATTCTCAGAAGTCTGCCGTAGTTGCCTTTCACACACAGATCATGGACTAGCCATTTAAATCTGTGCAACTGTGAACCAGGTGTCTTAATTCCTCCCAGCTTAATTGTGTAATTCTCCTGTAGCACTCGTTCAGTGTGTGGTCTCAAATTGTGGCGAGTTGTCCGTGTGCCTCAGATTTTGGTCGATTTTTTTTCCTCCCAGATCTCGGTATAAAATTGGAGTGACTTTCCCTTCAGAGGTAACGATGCAACCTTTTTGGTTACTGTGTCTAATAATTCTCGCCTTGGATTTGTGACAGGCCTTTGATCAGTGCCTGTCCTGGAGTCTGGTGGCTCCATGGTTGAAGAGCTCACCTGATTAACCAGAAGATCACAGTCCAGGGGAGAAGTTGTGGCATTCTGTTTCCTTAAAAATGTACAGCCTTTGAACTCCTGTAGGGCACTGCTACTCCCGCCTGTGGGAGCACGGAGTTAAAATCAACTGGGTAGCAGTAGGATTGGTTTGGTTGGATTTGACCTCTGGAGACCACTGCTGGTTTGTAGGTACCTTGCCATATTGTTTCTTGCTGAAACCAGGTGTTCACTGGCTGAAGTTCAGCTGTCCTGCACTGCAACAGACATACCTCAGACTTCCTGCCCAGGAGCCCTGGGGGAATACTGACGAATGTTTCTTGCCATAGAAAGGTTACCTGTAATAAATGCATCTGTATAGGATTTGACCTAATCAGGGTATTGTAAAAGTGGCCTTACTACTGCCATATTCTCTGGTTTTTCTTTCTAATTGGCACTAGTCCAGCTGGGTCAAGGATAAATAGTCTGATGGTTAAGGTTGGAGAGTATGGATTAATTTGCCTGATTGTACAAACTAAAGTTTGAGATTTGTACAACCGGCCTGTGAGATTCTGCCCTATTGTATTATGGTCATTTTATCTTCAATCATAAACATTCTTGCTCGATTTACTGGCCAGTGAGAACTTTAGAATCTCAGATTCTTAAAATGTTTCTGAAAATGGATTTTCCATTCACCTTAAAAATAAATATTAGATTTAAGAATGTGTACATACATGAACTCTAAAGTTCTTAAATTTTCTATGCCTGCTTAGTAATTTTCTAAGAACGTTTATCTTCCTTTTGTTTTTTTGTTTTTAATTTTGTTGAAAATACACAGTAAAAGATATACAAGCTTAGCAGTCTACATGTGCCTATATATACTCGTGTATAAGCTGAGTTTTTCAGCACATTTTTTTTCCCAGCACATTTTTAATACAGTTTTTGTGGTAAAATTAGGTGCCTTGGTTGATATTCCTGTTGGCTTATACTCGAGTATATACGGTACACTGATTACATTCTTTTCAGACCCTTTTTGGAGTTCTTCCTCCCTCATTAACATAAAGGGCTTGCCTCTCCCAAGGTTCTTGTCTAATCTTTTGAGTTGCTGTAGTCAGTTTAATCTCATGTAGATCTTAAAATAGCATAATGCTCATGGCAGACATTTTTTAGCTAAGCTATTGTGTAGTTTAAAAAAAAAATCATTGGGGGCTCATACAGCTCTTACCACAATCCATACAGCCATCCATTGTGTCAAACACATCTGTACATTTGTTGCCATCATCATTCTCAAAACATTTTCTTTCTGCTTGAGTCTTTGGTATCAGCTCCTCATTTTCTTCCCTCCCTCATGAACCCTTGATAATTCATAATTTTTTCCCCCCATGACTTACACTAACCGACGTCTCCCTTCACCCACTTTACTGTTGTCCGTTCCCCTGGGAGGGGGTTATATGTAGATCATTGTGATCGGTTCTCCCTTTCGCTCCTCTCCTTCCCCTTCCCCTCCTGGTATTGCTATTCTCATTATTGGTCTGTTCACTTCTGAGAAGCCATCAGGGAGTAGTTCTGGTTTCAGGTTTAAAAGTTTCAGCAATCCCTTCAGCTTCCATGGCTCTGGAGGTTGCCCTTGTGTTCTCATTCGTGTGTTGAAACCCAAACCAAGTCCATGGCCATTGAGCTCATTCTGACGCTGGTGACCTTATAAAACAGAATAGAACTGCTCCCAAGCATTTTTAAGACTGTAAATCATGATTGGTTCAAACCATTGATATTTCAGAAAGCAGCCCAGTGTCAGAGGGCATGAATTAAGCATAAATATCACTTAAAAGGAGATAGCAAAGTACTGTATTCACTCATTTCCAAATTCTCAAAAGTGCTGGGACCTTTTGCAGGAGGGGCAATTAGGCAACCAAGGTTCAGAGAGGGAACAGCCAGTCCAAGAGCACATTGTCTCTATGTAAAAGGTGAAAGAATGATGAATGGTTACAAAACACAACAAAAAGCCTGGTGGCTTCAGGTTTCAACAACTACAGGGTTTTGGTTTTTGCTTTTTCAACTATAGGTATTAAACTCCCTGCCATGCAGTCAATCTGGCTCATGGCGACCCTATGAGACAGGTTGTAACTGCGCCTGTGGCTTTCCAAGAGGGCATCTTTTTACAGCAAGAGCAATAGGAAGCCTCGTCTCTACCTCTGAGCAGTTGATGGAACTGCTGGCATCTCATGAAGTAGATCTATATCCACAGCACTCCTAGATTATCATGTGGAAGTGTGCATTAAGTAAGATACTCCAAAGTGATTATTTTTACCCATTTATCTGTTTCCAGGCTCTTCACGATGAGAGATTTTGAGACGCTTCTCTGTCCTCTGTGTAGTTGATAGATTGTATGTTGAAGAGATGGCTGACAGTGTCAAAACCTTTCTTCAGGACCTTGCCAGGGTGAGTACATCTTGTTTTTAGAAAGTCGCTTTTTGACCCATTTTGCTGAAGAAACTAGTCGCTTCTTTAGGCCTTTTTGGAATGATTGTACTTGTTGAGTCCTTCACATCTAATTTTTCTTCCAATTATCCTGCATCTTGCACAATCTTTTTTTTTTTTTTTAAACATT